TTTTTCACAAACTCATTTTTAATCACAAATTTTTTAAATAAAATAATTTTACACGTAAAATCAAAATGTTCCCTACTTTTTAATCACGTGTTCTTCCAATTACAAAACCTATTTTTCTAAAAAAAGAATGGAGCTCAAAATGCATTCTTTAAAATGTTAAAATAAAGTCAGTAGAATTTAGTCTAGAATAGAAAGTATCTTTTATTCAAAAGAATCATACATTTATATAAAAACTGACAGCAACCCTCAACTGTACCGGGACCTTATTAAAGTTACATAAATGCATTCAATTAAATGCAACAGCGTCATAGTTAATTCATTGATTGACGATTATCTGAAAATAAATAAACGCCGGTGCTTAATTTAAGCTAAGCATTCGAGTAACAAAGCACACACCACCTATTGTAGTGTGTCATGTCACCTGATACTTAGCGTAAACTAAACATCAGCACTTAAGAGATCAGTTTCGTATACATTGTATACTTGAAAGAGGGTTATCATTTTGTATACTTCCCTCAGCTAAAAATCAAATCTTATGTGAAATTTTAGTAAAAAGTGATGAAGTGTGTGATACAAAGTTAATAAAAAGTGTGAATTGTATGAGATGTATGGTTAAAATTAATTGTTAACTTTGGTTTTCTTTAAATGTGCGGTTATGATTGAAAATTTTCCTTATGGTATGCCTCGTTGCAGATAATGCAATCCAACACTGTTAGATTCTCGTAGGTCAAATTCAGTTACCATCCTCTTCAAAAGTAGACGTCGCACAAGTATTGTATTCACAATCACCAACATACACGAGTAAATAAAGGGTTATCTATTTGTATAGTTAACTTTCATTGGCAGTGGTTGTGACTCACGATTGGCCTTGATTGAAAAAAATTCTTGTGGCATGAGGATCATATAAGGAAAAAAAAAATTCCGACAAAGCTAGCATGAGCGGCCGTGGGTGTGTGTTCTTGAAAGAAAAATGAACAACTTTAAGGAAGTTTTGTGAAAACTTGAGAACAAACATTTTGATATTTATTTTGTACTGAGATCTATTCTCTCCAAGTTTCTAGTTCCCTACTTTCTGCCTAGTTCTAAAAATTCCCATTCAAAATATAAAACTAAACATTATATGAAAAAGATGATTGAACCACCTTGTTTTGTGTCCCCATAAGCCAAAGTAGAGTCCTCTTTGCAAAAGATGGCTGATTTGGTTGAGAATCAAGACTGTTACAGCTCCGGATTTCCTCATCACAGCCAAATTCACTCCCTCCATTTTCCCACCTGCTAATATCAATTTCAGAAACTGTCCTCCTAGCACCCCCACTTCCGCCACCAGTCTTGGCCTCAGCCACCGCATTTCGGTGAACTGGAAATCGGAAAGAAAATGCTCGTCTAGATGCCTCCACTGTGGCTGAATTTGATTTATCCTTCTTTCCCCTAAGCCAAATTTTAGACACTGAAAAACTATCCCTCCTACTTTTCCCAATCACCTTTCTATCATTGCCATCAGAATTTTTTAGAACCCGAAATGCCTCAAAACCATTGAATTCTCTTCTTGAATCACAGCCACATTCAGACATTGCAAGCCTGTGGCCTGGTGTCAATGGAAAAGAAGATTTCTTGCTGGATTGTTTCTTTGAAGATGGAATCCTAATGGGGACTTGCAGAGACGCATTTACATCCATTACATAAGCAAAAGATCCCATGGAAAAACACCTTCTTTCATCAACATTATCATTACTGGTACTACCTTCAATATCACCATCAACATTTCTAAACTTTCCAAGCTTTACAGGAACAACTTTTTCTCCTGAACCCACAAATAATTTTTTATTTTCATCCTCTTTTTCTTGAATCTCACCAGATTTTTCTGCATGAAGAACCCTAAAATCATCACCACAAAGAGTACTCAAATGGGAATTCGCTCTTGCAACTGAATTTGTAGAACCCAATCCACCCTCTTGAACAAACTCTCTTGAACTTTCACTTCCAGATTCAAGCACAAGGACCATAGGGGAGCAATCACCATTGGGTGAAAAATCAGGAAGCAAAATTGCTCTACAAAGAGGGCAAGTGGAATGAGACAATAGCCAAGTATCTATGCACTCCATATGAAAGGCATGGCTACATTTAGGCAAAAGCCTAAGCTTATCTTCTGCCTCAAATTCACACAAACAAACAGCACAATCAAATGGATCCTTCACACCAATTATGGCTTTGTAATTGAAAATAGGGAGTGTATCAATGAAAGACTGGTCAACACCAGCATCATGTAAGTGAAAAAGTTGCTGTAACTGACCTTGAAGGGCACTCCCATTTTCTAGTTCATCATCAGAATCTCTATGT